TTTTTCTTGTCGGTGGAGGAACAACGCAGCTTTGAACGTGATCTACTTGAGTTTCAATCCGAGTGTGCGCTTCCGGACTATTTATTGAGAAACCTTCCACGAAGCGATTGTTCGCTCGAATGCCGCAGTATGGGCTACCTAGCCGTAAAGAACTCGGTGACCGGATACTCAAGACCATCGCTGAGACCGCTGAACAAGCCTCCAACGCGAACCTGCGAGAGCGTCAGGAAGAAACGGGAGGCCGCGTAAACTTTCTATGAGACGTTTGGCAGAATGTGGCGAGGCTTCATTTTCTGGCTTGCCAGCTATTTCTCTTTGGTGTACTTGTCCAGTTTGAACTCTGTCGTGTGACTCAAATCACCATGGAATCGCTAAAGCAAAGCAAATGGAGGAGGTAATTGTGCGAGCCTTAGCACTAGGATGGATTGTGGGAGCTGTTATTACTGATGATGCTGAGCAATGCGCTAGGGCAAGACTAATCTCGGCACTGCGATGGCCAAATATCGTGTTTCTACGGTGCTTCGCTCATGATGTGAACAATTTGGGTGAAAGCAGTCCCCAAGACGGTGTTCAAGACTGTTACAAAGCAGGTAGCCACTGCCATCGCAACATTAAACAGCTCGTCTTCGCTGGACGAATTGTGAGCATCCGCTAATGCTTTTAGCGTTCGCTCTGCGTCCACTCTACAAGACACACACTCGCCGATTGATCGAGTCCCACAACAACAGTGTTTTTGATGTCGGTAAACGGGATATCTGCTGCAGCCGATTACTACTATCGTTGATACGTTGACGCTAACAACAACGGCCTCACTGGTGATGTAGACAAATGGCTACGGGAGAAATTTACACCCAAGAAGTACACGGATTTTACTGATCCAAATGGCATCCTTCAATCTTCTGGAGTCATTGCTTTCTGAGTTCACGTGGGCGATTCCAAGTGCGGAAAAGAAAGCAAGCTTCCTCAATTAGCGAAGGTTATTCTGTCGGTCTCAGTGAATACTGGTACGTGTGAACGCTACTTCAGTGAACTTGGATTGATACACACTCTGCGACGGAATAAACTAAGGTTTGATAAGACTCGCCTTATTTCGACCATTCGTAATGAAGTTCGAGAGCGGAATCGTCGAGAAGGAGATACTGATGAAACCTGTAAACCGAAGAAACCCATCGATCCAACGGAACGCCCCAAAAAGCAAACAAACGGATTTTCCGATTCAGCAACGTCCCTGTCATCACTTGCTGAAAAGACTGTTGTCGATTAAATGGAAACGGTCGGAGCTGTGGACTTTTGGCTGGAAGTGATTGTCGATCTTGAAGAAGATGTTCCTCTCAATTTCAGTTCGGTGGAAAATGAAGAAGAAGAATGGTACGTGTATGACGCCGACATGGAGTCTTTTTCTGTAGCGGATCGAAGCCAAAAGCTTCCTGGCATCAATGTCCCGTCGTTTCCTCGAGAGACTTGTCAGTCGGGGATAAGAGCACAAAATCAACTCTGGGAGCGTTATTTTCCTGTCACATGGAGCTTCCCCCTGCAGCAGCGTCACAATGAGACCACGAGAGCAGATAAGTGTAGTCCTTAAAAAAACACTTGTTAGTTCTGACCATTGTTGCAATTCGATGTAATTCGTAAGAGATACTCAGTTCAAGTTAACACAGTGTCTTTCGCAGTCCGTAGGATCTTCGTACTCTACCAAATCCGCTATCGTCACATCCAGCCATCTAGTCACCAGGGAACACGGCCACGATCTCCATCAGCACGGCAGCGGTCGGAAACTCAGCCTACATTTCACCACAACGTCACACACGACACAGTCACCGACTCCATAAAAATAATTCATCATATTCGCCACCACCAGATAGGCTTGAATCGCCACCACCGGATAGGAATGAATCGCCACAGTCTCCACCAAGACATCACGCAAACTACGGCCAGCAAGCACGGCCGGTGGCCACTAACGAGACCACGGTCTCCAAGAACACGAACACAACCTCCACCACACGGCAGCCGTCGGCACCGCCGGCACCGACTCCACCAGAACATCACGCACGGCCATCGACTCTACCAGCACGACCGACAACGCAGCCACTGTCTTTACCAGAACGTTACGCACGACACGGTCGACAACGACGACGGCCTGTGGGTGCAACTGGCCGATCCAGGAGTATCATCAAAGCGCACACACTTCATAGCATCGAAGCATTTGCCCAAATGCGGCTGAACAGCTCGTGGATCACGAGTTTGAGAATCTCCAGTAACTCGTCGTTTGAGAGAAAGTAGAATCTTGGGAAAGCCATCCGTTTGGTTT